TAAGAAAAGATACAGTGAGGGCAAGAAGCTGAAATAGCAGAATTCCCATTGAGGCAAGAGGCCGTTTAAGGGAGCAGTTTGCAGATTCATAGCCTGAAGGTCACTCGGTTCTAAGAATACAGATTTAAGATCAAAAGTAAGGTAAAATTATTGTCTTTGTTAAATTTAGAAAGAATTCTTCTAATATCTTGAAAGAATTGTAGGGATTATTATTGTTCATGTTTACAAAAAACTTATCTAAAATGTTATTATTCATAAAGTTTGCAAGGAATTATTTGAATAATGCCAGGTTATACAATTAAAGGATTAGATAATCTGTTAGATAGATTAATGGAAAAAATAGAAAATATTTATTCTCAATTAGAGATTATGGATATATTATCGAAGGAATTTGATAATCTTAGTAAAATACATGACAATTATATTACAGATTATGCTAATTTATTAGATCAAAGGATGAAATTATATATTAAAACTCGAAATGAGAGAAATAGAGGGATTTAAAACTATCCCAATAAATTAAGGATATCTTGTGCAATATATGACAAATTATTTCATTAAGGGTATAATAGACATTTTATCAAAAATGAATAGTAGCAGGTCATTTATAATAATACCCCAAGTATATGGAGAAAAAATTGTACAATGGACGAGTTACACGTTACCTCAACAGATTACATAAAGTGGAATGGGCATATGCAAAACACTAAATATTGTACTAAATTGAAGTTATGTTATGTGTTATAAATTGATCGCAAAATAAAGACAATAATAAAATAAATAAGAAGAAAATAATAACATCAAGATTTATGTGAAAACTCAATATGGACAAAAATCATAGGCAATGAAGAAAAATTTTACTATAATCAACAATGAATGTGTTTACAATATCAAAATCTCAATACTCTTAATTGAAACATAAGTTCTCTAACTCTTAAAATGTTGTTCAATGTGTATGTAGAGATACAACAACACGAAATTGGAGCTGTAAATGGATCGGATATGGACTGAATCTACCCATATTTGATCAGATAAAAATAATTATAAATTCGATCCGATAATCAACGGATATTTGATTGTTAAATTCATATTCAATTTGCTATGTTATCGGATATCCGATCCAATAACAGATAATCTGATCCGAAATTAAAGAAATTAAGGAAAAAAACAATATTGAAATTAACATTTTTTTTTTTTCAACTTTTAGCTAATTTGATTGAAAAGCACAAAAAGATGCTTACTCATTTATTGACTCACTTATTTATTAAGAACATCCCCAAAGAAATATGTAAAGGACATTTCCAACTGTAGTACATTGTACTATTATATAAATAAATATTTATACTTTATTATTTAATCATTTTCCATATTTTTTAATAATTAATAAAAATGTAAAACTCTTCAAATATTTTAATTAGCACTATTATAATATATTTTGTTTATCGAATATGAGGCCGTCTGGGCATGCTTCTTGCAAAATGGAGAATTGATTTTCTTGTCAAATCACGGGCTCACACGATCATTCAATGCAAATGCAAAGCAAATGAATTGTTTGTCCACTTTGCCCTCACATGCCTCCCAGTTTTGCAAACACGTGAATAGCCTCTTTTCTTTGACCATTCAACACAAACATCATAGATTCTAATCATTGTTGCAAGTTGGTGGTCCCACCAAAATACAAAGTCAAAAATGGAGAATTGGAAATTTTTGGAGACGTCCGTTTTTGTTCACGTGTACTCATTTTGACTTTCCAAACCTGTCCATGGGTGCTTCAAAATCAATGTAAACACAACATCGCTTGCGAATGGAAAATTGAAATGCGGACAGCCAATTCCATTCCAATTAAACTGTTTTTTTGTTATGGAAAAATATCTTCGACTACTAGAAATATTGAAACATAAATAACCAAATTCATTGTTGTGCCAAATAATCTCTGAATCGATCCCACTCATTTCATGTGACTTTCGGTGCATGTAATTCAGCTTCAATTTCAACCCTTTCGTCCGGAAGCTCTACCTCCATTGTATCGAGATCGGTCTCCACTCTAGTAAACGCTTCTTCTACCACACCCGCCCATCGAAAGAAGTTGTGAATATCCATAGTTGCGATTACAACAGTAGTTTGCACTTCAAAATTATAACTTGGCATACGATCAAGTATTTTCTAATGATTCTTCCAAACTCCAAAAGTACGTTCAATTACGTTTCTGCATGACCAATGCCTAAAATTAAACTTCTCCCATGCATTTCGAAACTTATGCCTCCAACCTATCCCCGTGTCTTAAAATTACTGAAAATGATACAATATATCGGAACCCTTATAAGGCGCCATACAACCTAATTTGTGAGTGAACCCTGAGTCTACCAGATAATATTTTCCAGGTGCTAGTTGCGAGAAGTGAATTGCAGGTTTATGTATTGTTGACTGTACCCACCAAAACAAATGTGAATCACAAGTTGAAATTACAAGCTGCTAGCACGTTTTGTGTTAGAAATCCCTTTCATCTGATAAAATTCATCCGCTGGTCCCATGGGAGGATGGCTCTCACATGCGTGCCGTCTATTGCACAAATACAATCCTGGAACAGCAAATGTTTGTTTCGATCTGGTACGTGATGCTCGGCACCATTATTATAGTTCAGATTTGGTCTAATTATGAGTTTAGGAAACTCTAGGACTGCTCAAAGCAAAAGTTTGAAGTAGTGTCTAATAGTTTCCAATGAAACCTGTCTGTAGCATTTTCCATGAGCTAAAATGCAAAGAAACATACCGATTTGCTCATACACATCTATGTGTTGCGAAGTACGTAACCCGAATTGGTAGCGAAGGATGAGCGTAAACATTCGCAACATTGGTGGATACATACGGAACTCTACATAGCACCGTTGCGAATTGCATGTCATGGCATCTTTGCTGTAGTAGTTACTCATTGCAACATATGACAGTTCCGTGCGAATGGAAATCGACAAATCCTACATCTTTGCTGTAGTAGTTATTCGTTTCAACTACATTCATATGACAGTATCGAAACCACTCGATAATATTCGCCTGTAGCTATGCCATAAATACCTCCTTCCTAGGTTCGTCCTCCGGATCGAAGTCCGACAACAACACAGAGCTGATATCAAAATGTTCCATACTACTGCTCTGAAAGAAGATATTGAAATCTCTTGAAGAAGCAACGTAGGTTGTTACCGACTTTGTCTTCGGGAGTATGTAAAAATGAGTACATATATGTTCCATTTTAGAGACGAATACCTTTAATAATTGTTTTCCAATGACATGATGAGTCCTGACACCTACTGCAAGTAATCCCAACCAACTAAAATGAATGACATGAGTGATGTGAAGTGTACTTGTTGTGCATATTACTTGTTTAACAAATTAGCAAACATCCAATTACTATTGTGTAGGCATTCATATTTTGAATATATGGAGATCAAAGTTTTTGTAGCCAAGCACAATGCCAACGTATGATAACCAAAGTTGTTACCACTGACATTTATGTGGCATGCAACAAAACGTCCGACATAAAAAATTAAAACATAATAAAGTTCGACCAAATGTTTTCACAAGAATAGAGTTAGAGAAAATGACAAATTGACGTCTCACTGCACTTTCATCGGGCTATGCTCTCCTGTACTCCTTCTAGTTCCACTCGACCAACTCAAATTTCTCATTCGCATTGTTCTGCATGTCCAATATCTCCCTATTGTGCCTTTAGGACAGGTAGATGCACGTCCAGAAGTACAGATCTGTTCCCTTTTCCAATCAACCCGTAGACAACAACTCCTTCATGCACGTCTTCGGGTCGGTCATAGCAGAGTCATTGAAGTTGTCAATTTTGGTTGCAACCTTCTCACTGGTGGTCGTCACCCGATCGACGAAGTAGGAAAGTTCGTTTGCGATAATTTTCTTCTTCTTCCCTTTTTTTTCTTGGTGTCAATGTAACGTCTCGAAAATTTTAGAATCAAAATTTTTTTGTTTTATATGCTATAACTTTATATTTTGAAAAATATAAAGACTAAAATAAAATAGGTTTTAAATTCTTTTTTGGGTCAAATAATTAGATTTTGATAGAGTGAGTTTTTGTATACTAATATTGGGCTCTTTTTGAAACTTGTAATTAATTAGGAATTTTTTTACCCAAGAAAAAGTTTTTTTTTTAATAAGATCACATCAAGTTAGATATGATATGAAGTAAAGAAGGATGGATAGAATTTTTTATTAATTTAGAACATTGACTTTGCCATGCGCAACTGTAGGTGAGTGTGTTGGGTAGAGATAAACTAATATTTTTATGATAAAGTTAATAGAAATAAACTAATATTTTAGGATAAAGGTTACTGTGATCATGATTACACTAAAGTAGGTTTGTTTATCCTCATCCCCGGTCATTCTTTATCTCTATTTTCCTTTATATTTTTAAAAATTCTGTTGGAGGATTCGTTTATGAAGATAATCCAATTTATATTGATAAGTGGTGGCAAATTGATTGTTGATAACGAATACAATTTTTTTAGTTAATCCAAAATCAGTTTGATTATGATAAACTTCAAAACTAATTCTTCATTAATTAGGGTCCATCAACTAGTCACACTATAAATAAGGCATTAAATTAGTTAGATTTCACAACTAATTGTCTCCAATAGAAACCGTCCCAAATTATCAGAAAAACGAGAAGCCTTTCATCCATTAGAAATTATTTCAAAGCATTACACGCACCATTATCTAAAACTTGCAGTCTTATTTTTTAATCGATCGAGGTAAGATATTCTTGTGCAAGTGTTTTCGTTTCCTTGTGCTTTTATATTCAATTAAATATGTATAAATTGCCAGTAGACCTCTGGCTTCTATAAAAAGAGAGATGAAATCTTACGGGATTATAAAAGGATCTGAGATGGGTGTGTCGTTTGGTCACGAATATACTCCATAAGACCAAAGTTTAAAGTGTAGATTTTATTTGTTATATAATTGTGTATGAAAACTATATGTATCTTACTGGGTATTTTAAATAGTCAATCTTACAATAACTTTTCAGGTTAGTTTGGATCGATTAGAATTGTGGTGTGATGGTGATGCTGCCTGCCAGAAGGATTCGAAAGGGAAAAGTATTACAAAAAAATTTACTTTTTTATTTTTTTGTTGTCTTTAAATTCATTAGTTAGTTTAATTTATTTGAAGACATGTTATTTAATTAGTTAGTTGACTATGTTTATTTTTTCAAAAGACAATTTTTCGTCCTTAGTTTAAATTTATGGATATTTTAACAGTTTATTTTTAGAGAAATCCATTTTTATCAATTCGTATTTAAAACAAACAAAAGTAAGTTTTTTTGTGACATTTCAAAGTTTATGAAAATTTGGGGTGTTACACTCAGACTTTTGCTTGTGCCCGCTATGCAGGCGGGACATCCATGCTTACTACAGCCCCATTTGGTATGTCAGGCTCGTCACTTGATCCGCTGCTATTGACATCAATTGGAACCTCATCATAGTGGTTTTCATGTCCACTGTCTTCGAACATTGCGAACCCAGTTCGACGGAGCTTTGTTGGTGTGATTGCTTACCTATCATTGTTGAATGTGTCCCTGAACAGAGCCTTATAGCCATACACCTGACGGCAGTCTTTGTCCTTAAACTCTTTGTAGGCCTTGTTCTCTTGTGCCAGTACAAACGGATAGTTCTGTCACATATGTTACACGGACGCATGCATGAAATGCATAGATGGAAGTGTAAATGAATTTTATCGTAATTTCTGAAGAAAAAATTGCATTAACAAAATGTCTTAGGGTTTAGCTCGATATAATTCCTGCTTGGTGGAACTAATGAAAAAATGAAATCTCAGCAAATGGGCGAATACATGAACACAAGATTGGTGATATGAAAATTACTTTCTTAAAATCGTCCTCATTACACCATAGACACATCTAACTCGAGTCACTCACAAAGCAAATGTGTTTATCCAAAATCAAAATGACCAACATCTATGACATTTAACAGAAAATCATGCGTAATGAACTCAATGAAACAACCACAGGATATTCAAATCTCATACACAAGCCTGGAAACGAGCGATGAATCACAAAACGATGGTACCTCAATCTTTTTAGTCTACCACTCCTTCGTTGCTTCAATTCTGTCGGTTGATGGGTCGTAAGCAATGCCACTGGAGTTCAGCAACTCCTCAAATCTCTTGTGTTTCGGGCGGAGAGCATCCTATCGATTTTTTAATTACTGCTTCTTCTAATTATGCCCAGAGTTAGAATTGAACAAGTGAACCAGTGTCTCCTAGCAGTGTTTAGTGAAACACTTCCTATTTTGATGTCTTTAGACGATGACCATCTCACAGGCGGACACAAAATATATTCGTCTCATAATAATTCCATTATGCATTCTTACGGGCTCCCAATTGCCATTGAACAGGAGAGACATTGGAGGTCAACGAGTTCGGATATTTTAGAGACCACGGCAAGAGATTGAGAATATATTATTGTTTCGCGCGGGTTAGTCGCTAACAATTAAAAAGGGATCAGACGATTGTGTAAGGGACAAACCTCTTGAGACAAAGTCCCAAAAAGGGGTGTTCTTTATTGGCGATGACTTTACAATCGGAAAGTAAAAACAGAATGCCTCCAAGGGGCCCAAGCACACGAGTTACTGTGAAAAAAGTGTTTAAATCTAAACTAAGAAATTTAAAATTACATGTTCTCTGTTCCAGAGTTTTTAATTCGGGGTCCTTTACTCTATGTTTTTTCTTCCTTTTATACTCCCTAGATGATCTCTTTGTGATCAACCGCCTAAAAACTGCTTGATCGTTCTATAACTGCCCACTTTCCTCGTAATGGCAACTTGTCATGGAACTGCCTTTTCTAACTGCTGCCATTACTCTTTGTCGTTCAACCATCTTCAATTGAATTCCTTGAATCGTAAAACGTGATAGGGCTGCTTAATAACTGTTTTGATAACTGTGCTTCTTGATAATCATAACACTTCATTTTTGCTAAGACCTTGGGCGACTCGAAGGTTTGGGCGAGAATAGAGTAGCAACTCTGGGCGACTGCATGGCATTCCATTCGCTCAGATCCTGAGCGACTTGCAAGCTTGAGTGATGGTGTTACCGCGTTCATGAGCCTCTCTATTTGGGCCTTCATCGTGAATTGTCTGATTTAGCTTCGTTCTTTGGGCTATCTGATTTGGGGATCCTCCAATTGAGCTTCATTCCTTGGGCCGTTCGATTTGGGCTGAATTTTTATGTGTCAACAATTATCCCCCAATATGGCAGAATTAATACCAATTATTAAATTTTGCCATATTCACTTTGTGTTTCCAGCAACATTTGAAATTCCCAACAATTTCAATCATTGTTTTTTTTCCATAGTTTGAAAAGGTGCGACGTTTTGCAAACCCTTATAACCCCCAAATACGTCATTTCACTGCACTATTAAATCACTCCTCACTTTTTTTGCGCTTCTCTCTCACAATTTTACTATTCATCTCTTTGCTTCCCTGCTACGTAATTTTGAAAAACTCAATTTCATCCCTAGTGGCTACTTTACAATCTCAATCTGGAGACTCTTTTAGTTTTGAAGACTTTCAGAAACTTCTTAATCGTCTATACGTAACTCCGAACTTTCTCGCACCTACCAACGTCGAACTCAATAAGTTCTACCTAGGTCATTTCTTTAACAATGCAGAGGCAGTTGAACAAGCAGCGGTGGGCCAGCTGTTTCCTTGTACTCAAGGCCCTCCATTTCTAAACTCTCTGCCACTGGGGCCACTTCGCGAAAGAGGTATTTGCACTTGGCCTAAATTTGATGTAGTTTTCCGTAGGTGGCATGCTCGCCTTGTGGACCATGGTCCTACTAAGGCACTTTTTGATAATGCTAGAATTTTTGATTTGTCAGAAATCTCTCTTCAACCCCCTACTTTTGATTTAGCACTTTTTTCGATCGCTTTAAATTTTTGGTCTTCTGAGTATAATGCCTTTATTTTTCCTCTTAGCCCCATGTCTATTACTTTAAGGGATGTTGGGGCCCTAGTGAATTTGCCACCTTTGGGCGATACCATTTTTCCTGGTATCTTGGTTTCTGGTGGCGTCCCAAAGTTTGGTAAAAACCTCACCGAGTCTTATTCAAGCCTGCAAACCCTTCATAACCACTCGAACGCTGAGCCTTCCCATACTGGGCGAGTGGCCTTTCTTCTGGTTTGGCTTTGTAAATATGTTTTGTTTGTACCAAGCATAAAGCCCTCCCTGAGCTATTTATCCATAGAGCACGAATTGGCGCGTGGCAGACCTCTGAATTTATATTCTTTCTTTTTGGCTACCCTCTATAGAGGCATGACTTCTCTTCAAACTCAATTGAAGAATGGTGCATCTCCCACTGGCAGTGGACCTCTTTGGTTCACTCAAATGTGGTTGAGATCCTATTTTCCATTGCTTGGTGCTCCATCATTTTCTCGTCCTTCTGCTAGCTGCTATGGGTTAGCCATTGAGCCCCTGGCTCCTGTAAATATGTCTAGAAGGGACATTTTTTTCATTCTTTTATTCTTTGGATTCAATCCCTTCCTTCTTTCCTTTTCCTCCCTTTTTTACTCCAGACTATATGCATCCTCCCTCCACTATAGACAGCGCGAGTACCTATCTGCTTGTTTGGATCCAGTTTTTAATCGGGAGGGAGTTATTTCATGATATTTTGACTAGGACCAATGCCAAGGCTGGGGTAGAAATATATGCTCCCCAATTTTTTGCTCGCCAACTTGGTTTCGGCCAAACCTGGCCTGTTCCTCCTTGCTATTCAAGGAACTTGATAGACCACTTCCATATTATTAATAAGGCGGAGGTAGAGGTTATAAATGCTCGCAATCTTATTTTGACGAGCCATTTTTTCATTAGCCCCCTTCAATTCTAACCGTGCCATCCATCCCATTTTTGAACAGCTCTGGTCGTCAGTGAAGCGCAGACTGTTTGCGACTGATGCCAATCGTGCCTTTCATTCACTAGACCAACCGAGCATTTCTTCCCCTCCTCCTGTTTTAGTCACCCCTTTGTCCATCCGGAGTCTTTCTCCTCCTTGTCGCGCTAAACAGTCTGCTCGTCCATCTTCTTCTCTCCCTACCAAGCCTACTGTAGCCAAAAGTGCCCCGAACCGCAAACGACCAGCCTCAACATCTCCCATTCTGGAGGATGATGTTGATGATGATGATGATGCCCCTCTTATCATCAGGAGGAAGGTAATTAAATTGGTTTACTCACAAGCATACTTTTTCATACTTGAAACTTTTTTGTGTGCTGATGGTTTATTTGGACTTCTCAGAAAAGTTCAGCCTCTCTTTCGAAGGCTTTGGTATCGGCAGCTCCTGCTCCATCATCCTCCGCTGAGACTGCTTCTTCCAAACCAGCTGATGAAGGGACTACGCTTAAAGAGACATCTTCAGTCCCAGAATTCTCATCACAACCAATGGACGAGCCACCTTCTTCCCAGGGCGTCAACCCCCCAAACATCGAAGCAGAAGGTAATTCAGTTTTTTGATACTTTACCTTTGCTTGTACTATTGGTTTCTGATTTGTTGCTTTTGAGTTCTGCAGATGCTCCTATGAGTTTGCCCATTGTGGCAATATCTTCTCGCTCAGACAAGGGAAAATCCTCACGAATGGTGGAGCCACAGGTGGCAGACTTAGCTGAGGATATGCCATCTTCCAAGATTATTGATGAGGTAATCTTTGCTTCACTTTTATTTCCATCTTGTTCGTTGTAGTGAGAATCTTCAATATTGGCAATTTTCTTTGTAGGATGCTGATAAGATTATGCGTTCCATCCAAGACTTATTCGCTTCCTGGGGGCAAGTCAAGACATCTCGCCCTGCTCCAGCTGGTCGTCCTGCTACTTCTTCAGAGGAAGATATGAAGTTCCTCAAGCAGTCGATATTTGACTACGTGTCCTTCATGGATATGGACATTGGTAAGGCTAGTGCTGCGGGACATAAGGATAAACTTGAGCAGTTGAATGCGCAGTTGGAACAAGCACTGACACTTCCGTCGCTCAATCTTTCTGCTGATTTTAAAGCGACGTCGAAAGTTATCCATTCCGAGATCCTTTCCTTGCTGGCCAAGAATGTTGAACTGAAGGCCAAAAGTATTCAATATCTTCGCGCTGTATCTGAAAAAGAGTCATTGCTTCAGGAGATCAACAAAGCTGAGGGCGAGTTGAGCGAACTAAGTCTTTGGTCGAGCAGTACAAGAAGCTGAAAGTTGATGATGATGTTGTGGCCGAATTGAACATCACTTCCTCTCGGCAAAACGAGGACTGGGGAAAATTTAGGGAAAGAATTCGTTCGGTATGGGGCGGATTGTAATTAAGACATATAATGCCTTAACTTTTTCTTTTTGTAATTTCGCATTTGACTTTCCTTTTGTAACCTTGTACATCATTAATGAACATCTATGTTAACTTCTTATGCATTTATTTGACGTTTGTCTTTTAATCGCCAATCCTTCAAGCATTTAACTGCTTTATGCTAAAAATCTTGCACATTTTCTCTTGATATTTCCACCTCTTTTCCTAAGACTTTGGGCTACTTAATTCCATTTACTAGGCAGAATGTGGCTATTCATATTCTTTCTCTTCATCTCCACCCCCCTATAAATGCACGTATGCTTCGCACTTTCCATTTTCCATCTTCATTTTCATTCTCTTCTTCGAAACCAATTTGCTGCCATTGTTTGGCATTCTGACAATTAATCCAAAACCTTCCTCTTCTGTAAAAATGGATTGTTTGGTCCACCCATTTTACTACTTGTCTTAATGT